TAAGATTTTATTTATTTATTTATTTGACATAGAGAGAGAGAGAGAGAGCAAACAAGCAGTGGGAGTGGCAGGCAGGAGAGGGAGAAGCAGGCTCCCCACTGAGCAGAGAGCCTGACATGGGGCTCAATCCCAGGACCCTGATATCATGACCTGAGCCAAAGGCAGATGCTTAACGACTGAGCCACCCAGGCGCCCCCCTGGCTGCTTTCATCTTTGGCAGAGCACCAGGAGGAAGAGGCAGCTGCTTCACAAAATAATGGAAGGCAAAAGATAAGCAAACTGTATCTTTAAGTCCTGAAATAAAAGTTGGCCAACAATTCTATATCCAATAAAAATATCCTTCAAAAATGAAAGCAAAATAAAATTTCATACAAATAAAGATGAAAGAATTTGTGCCACATTGACCTGCACTACAAATCTAAATATTCTTTTTATTTATTTATTTATTTATTTGAGAGAGAGAGAGAGAATGAGAGACAGAGAGCACGAGAGGGAAGAGGGCAGAGGGAGAAGCAGACCCCCTGCTGAGCAGGGAGCCGGATGCGGGACGCGATCCCGGGACTCCAGGATCATGACCTGAGCCGAAGGCAGTCGCTCAACCAACTGAGCCACCCAGGCGCCCCAAATCTAAATATTCTTTAGGGTAAAGGAAAACAACACATAGAATCGCAGTTCTACAGGACGCAAGAGAGAAATCAAAAAGGGTAAATAGGATTTCTCTTTCTGCTACTTCATTATTGGTGTACAGAAATGCAAAAGACTTCTGTGCATTGATTTTTATATCCTACGACTTTGCTGAATTCCTGTATCAATTCTAGCAATTTTTTGGTGGAGTCTTTCAGCTTTTCTACATAGATGTCATCTACAAAGAATGAAAGTTTGACTTCTTCCTTGCTGATTTGGGTATCTTTTATTTCCTTTTGTTGTCTGATTGCTGAGGCTAGGACTTTCAGTACTGTTATTAACAACAGTGGTGAGAGTGAACATTTCAGTCTTGTTCCTGACCTTAGGGGAAAAGCTCTCAGTTTTTCCCCATTGAGGATGATATTAGCTGTGGGTCTTTCATATATGGCCTTTATGATGTTGAGTTATGTTCTTTCTATCCCTACTTTCTTGAGGACTTTTTAAAAAGATTTTATTTATTTATTTGAGAAAGAGATAGTGACAGAGATATGAGAAAGAGCACGAGCAGGGGTGAGGAGGAGAGGGAGAAACAGGCTCCCCACCCAGCAGGGAGTGGGATGTGGGGCTCAGGACCCTGGGATCATGACCTTAAGCCCAAGTCAGACACTTAACCGACTGAGCCACCCAGGTCCCCCCTCCCCCTTTTTAAAGATTTTATTTATTTGAGAGAGACAGATATCGATAGAGAACACGAGCAGGGAGAAGAGGGAGAAGCATTTTCTTGAGGATTTTTTATCAAGAAAGGATGGTATTTTGTCAAATGCTTTTTCTTCATCTATTGAGAGGATCATATGATTCTTACCCTTTCTTTTATTAATGTGGTGTTTCACACTGATTGATTTGTGGATATTGAAACACCCCTGAAGCCCAGGAATAAATCCCACTTAGTCAGGTTGAAAAGATGTGCTATATATACACAACAGAATATTACTCAGCCATCAAAAAGAATGAAATCTTGCCATCTGCAGTGACGTGGATGGAAACTAGAGTATATTATGCTAAGTGAAATAAGTCAGTCAGAGAAAGACAAATACCATATGATTTCACTCCTATGTGGAATTTAAGAAACAAAACAGATGAGCATAGGGGAAGGAAAGGAAAAATAAAATAAGATAAAAACAGAGAGGGAGGCAAACCATAAGAGACTCTTAAATATAGGGAAAAAACTGAGGGCTGCTGGAGGGGAGATGGGTGGAGGGATGGGGTGATTGGGTGATGGGCATTAAGGAGGGCACTTGATGTAATAACGAGCACTGGGTATTATATGCAACTGATGAATCATGAAATTCTACCCCTGAAACTAATACTACACTATATGTGAACTAACTTGAATTTAAATAAAATCTTGAAAAAACAAAAAGGGTAAATATGTTGATAAATACACAGGAATTTTTAAACATTTTAAACATTACATATACACATGCATCTTTAAATTTCACTAAAAGATTGATTCTTTAAATTAAAAGTAATAAAAATATAGAGCACATGTAGAAGTAAAATATATAGACTATATAATAAGCAGAATATATAGAAGTAAAATAAGAGCACAAAAGGTGAGAAGATGGTATTGCAAGTATAAAGGGTAATATTCTTACGCTGTTCATGAAGTACTAGAATATGTTTGAAAATCAGCCATGATAAATTCAAGACACATATGTAATCAATCTCTAATACCACCAATAAAAAAATAACACGAAGGGACAAAACTAAAAAGATAGGTGAAAAAATGTTTTTCTAAAAACTCAATTCACCCAAAAAGAAGGCAGGGCAAGAGGACCAAAGAGTAAATGAGAAAATGGAAAAAGAACACCAATATGCTTAATCCAAACACAGAAAAAAGTTATAAAACTATAAATGGACTATATACCACTATTAAAACACAGAGATTGTTGTGAGACTGGATAAACAACTTCAGCCCAATGTATGTAGTCTATAAGAAACACATTTTAAACATAAACACACAGATGAGTTAAAAGGAAAAAGCAAGGGGCAAACATCAAGCTTATATTAATGTCAGAACAGGCTTCCATGTAAAAAGTATTTTCAGGGATAGAATGGGCATCTCATAATGATAAAAGGGTCAATTTGGCAAAAAAGACAAAGGTATCTTAAAAGTGTATCTGATTAATAACACTACCAAATAGAAGGAAAAAACCTGACAGAGCTGAAGGGAGAAATAGACAAATCTACAATAATAGAGACTTGAGACTTAGCACTTCTCCCAGAGTAACTGACAGAATGAGACATTAAAAATGTGAAGATAAAAGGCTTGAGCAACACTCTCAACCAGCTTCCCTAACTGACATTTAGACTACTCTACCCACCACCAGTAGAATACACATTTTTACCAGCGGGTAAATGGAACATTGACCAAGAAAGACCATAGGTTAGGCAAGAAAAAAAAAAACTCAATAAATTTAAAGGTATTGAAATAATACATGTTTTCTGACCACAACATCGCTAATTTAGGAATCAACAGCAATGATCTACATAAAAAATTCTAAAATATTTGGAAATAAAATAACACACCTAAATAAATAATGGATCAAAGAAATCACAAAGATTTTAAAATATCTTTAAATGATACTGAAAACATTCCAAATTTGTGGGATCTAGCTAAGCATGCTTAGAGGAAAACTTACAGCTTTAAATGCTTATATAAAAGGAAAAGAAGATAGAAAATCAATTATTTATGTTTCCAACTTAACAAGTTAGAAAAAGAGGAGCAAATTAAACCCAAATTAAAAGAAACAAAATTAGAGTAGAAATCTGAAACAGAAAACAGACATATAGAGAAAATCAACAAAGTCAAAAATTTTAAATATAGGACGTAGCACACATGAAATCACAAAGTCAGTGTAAACAAAACAATTTATATCATGTTTTATATCTGATAAATTTTGATATTTGGTACTAGTTCAGTCACTGGTATAAATTTTATTAATTGCTTTATGATAAATATTTCTAATAAAAATGTGGTTTCCTAGTTTTTACACCAGCCTCATGTTGGCACCAGTCTCATGTTTGCAGCTTTCCCACTTTGGACTGGCTGAGCTCTGAACACTCATTTAACTCTGAAATTATAATGATTTGTCTGGCAATTATAATTACTTATAATTAGAGCAATGTCTTGCACGTAGTTATTTCAATGGCTAGATGCACAATCATTCTGCACTATTAAATACAGAAATTTCAAAGAATATTGGTAATGCTGGGCACAGATAAATATAAAACGATTAAAATTTTTCATCATATAAAAAGTATATACATACCATTAGTTGTTTATTTGGCCAATACATGTGTAATTAACTCCTACTAAAGGATGAGGCACCTGTGGCTACTCCATAAATATTGATGTTAAGATGATGAAAGTAATATCGCCTTACAGTAAGTTGCCTAAGTCTAAACCAAATAAATCAATACATAAATGCTTAGAGAAAATCCAAAACCATGGATAAACGTGATCTTCCCAATAAGCTATTTTACAGTGACCCATAGTTTATAAGAGGGTTTATGCTCTGTGCATTAACAACATCTATTACATGAAAAATAATCCCACCCCCTCTACTGGCAAACCCACAGTATCGCGGGTTGGTTGCCAGGTCGGATTTTTTTCCCCCTCTCCATCTTTCTCAGAGCATCAGGTATCTGACCATTGACATCATCTGGGCACCCGACCAGGTGATCCGCGTTTCCACGAGCCGGATCGGTGTACGGGGCTGGGTTCATGGCCTCAGGATTTGTGCGCGGAAGCCCTCGGGAGCTCGGCTATTCCGCAGTTCGCCTCAAACCGCACATTTACTTATGTTTTGTTTTTAGCAAACGCTTGCCACTTCGTTTCTAAAGAAGGCATTTCCATCACTAAATAATGACATAAAAATAAGCACAACAGAAAAAAGGAGGTCAGCAGGGAAAGCACCTAAGGGCTGGGAACATCTGCTTCTAATGGAAGCGAGCTCCACCTTCGAAAGAAATCACCCAAACAAGCCTCAGGCTACTGCGCACGTTCGCTAGCGGGGCCAGCGTGAAGGGAAGCTCCTTTTGTTAGGAGAGGACCCAGCCTCCCTAAAAACCACTCCTGGCCCGTTCTGCCCTGGGGAGCTCCGACCCGGACCTCATCCGGGAGGGAGGCCGCAGGGAGCGGCGAGGCCCCGAGAGACCGCGTGCGCGCGTGGCGTGCGCGTCCCGCCGCGCCTCCACCTCAGGGCGTCGCCACGGGAACCAAGGGTTTGGCCTCCGGCCCGGGAGGCCGGGGCAGGGCGCGGCCCGACCGCCGCCCGGAGGGAGGGGGGCCGCGGGAGGCCGCAGACTCTCACCGCGACGCTGAAGCCGCGACGCACGGTCCTCCGCCACCTCGGGTCGCGCTTGGCTGCGCGGAGGTCCGTCCCGGCACCCGTTCCTGCCGCCGCCGCCCGCGAGCCCCGAGACGCCGCCGGGCCACTCCCGCAGCCCGTGCCCCTCCGCACCCGTGCGTGGAGGTGTTGGGCTCCGGCTGCGGGAGGCGGGAGATTTAAACCCGGCGGCCTGGCGCGCGCGGAAGCCGCGCTGCCCTCGGCGTCTCGGTCAGGCGTCCGCGTTCTCGCCCTTTCGGGCTCTAGCCTAACCCCGAGGCCCGGCGCTCGGTCCGTTTTCTGATGAACTCCGGGACCCATTCTGTTCTTCCTTTACCAAATGCCAGGTTATTAAACACGAAAACGGTCAGAACATCATAATTAAGGAACTGTGTGTGAGACCCCTGAGGCATTCTCGATTTCCTTTTCTAAGCCCAGCGCCCTCGGCCCGGGTCCCTCCCTGCCTCCTCCGAGCCCGCACCGCACCTCTACCAGGCTAGGAGCTTCTGAGCCTCAGTCATTCCTGAATCCTGGGGCGCTTCTCAGGACCAGTGCCCGCACGCGGTAACTGTACACGTGCTATATTTAACTCTTATCGTAAGGGTTTAAAGAGGATTAAGTTAACAACTGTTAATAACTGACCTCAAATGCACATATACATAACCATAATTTGTGTTCATAAATGAGTCTTCAAGAGTAAAAGGCAAAATTTGAGCCTAAAAACTAAAGAAAAAAATGGAAATAAGACAAAAGTAAATTGTTCCTGGTGGAAGATAATTTAAATTCAAAGAACTTTCTTTTTAAAGGTGATTCAAAATATCCTATCACTTTACTAAAGCTTTACAGAATATTAATTACAACTGTGACACAGCCTAGTAAGGAAAAAAGCTTACACTCCAGGCAATAACTAAGTCTGTAAGATCGTGAAAGATGGAGTGAGATTCTAGAATATTATTACAAAGTACTTACCTTAAAAACCTGAAAGTAGTCTTAGAATAGAAAAAGGAATAGGCTATTTATACTAGAGTTAATATGGACTGAAAATAGTGAGAGGTCTTTAGGCCGGGGATTCTTACCCTGAAATAAATATATGGTGTTTCAAAGAAAGGGTGAATACCTAAAATAATATGCAAAATTTTGGCATGGGTCTTCTAAAAATATTTTCTGGAAATGTAACCAAACCCAAGTTCCACTGTCCAAAGCACAGCAAAGCCAATCACTGAGACATCATGCATGAAAAAGAAGGTTTATTCTAGAGGCAGCCAAAGAAAGATAATAGGGCAAGCTTCAAATCTGCCACTTAGAAGGGGGAGAGAAGTTTTTTTATAACCACAGGGGTTGGGATTACATATATATTGATGAAAAGGATGGTGAAAACTTGTGGTTATTCATGAGGAAAGATGGAGCATGTTTATTGAGCAAACATGTAACATACATCCCATACTCACTTGTGTGGAGACTTAAAATGAGGCAAAATTCAGCCCCTGCTGTCAGGCATCTTAGGACAAGGAAAGGGACTATGGGTTTTCTCCAAGAGAGCCCAGATAAACGGGAGGGGGTTTTGGGCTCATTATCTAGGGTAAGGAAGACAGGGCCTTGCTGTTCATAGGCTGGAACCTTATCACTGACTTCTAGCCCAGGTCTCCCTAGTGGATTTGTAAACACACAATAGCTGATTAGGGTCTCTGAAAAATAAGCTTTAGATTTCTTAATTTCAACCTCAATCCTATAGGGGACAACCTCAGAAAGAGTCCACAGCTTTCCTCAGATTCAAGTCCAGATCCTTAGAAGGGTAAGAATTAGCATTTGGCAATAAGGATGACTTCTGTACTTCCTCAGATCTTTCCTCACTCATGATAGGTTTGGCATCCCTCCTAAGGACATACTTCTACTCAACAAATGTAATTATTTTTCTGCCTGCCTTCCTCACTGGATGCTGAGCTCCTCCAAAGTAAACATTTATTCATTTCAGTAGCTTTATCTCTTGAACACAGTGCCTAATACATATTGCATTCTGAATGAATTTATTCAATCAATAAGTGAACAGAAGCAAAGACAGCTCATTGACAACTGAAGGATACTGTATAAAATATCTAAAAAGAACTGAACACCTTTCTTCCCAAAGAATAAATGATTCTAATATAGTAAGAAAATGACTTTCAGAATGTTACCATGCACACGTTAAGTTTCTTGGGGTATTTTAGAAAATGCTTCTTCCAACAGGATGAAGTTTTGTTTTTTTTTTTCAAAGATTTTATTTGTCCATTTGACAGAGCACAAGCAGGGTGAGCTGCAGAGGGAGAGAGAGAGAGAGAAGCAGGCTCCCTAGTGAGCAGGGAGCCCGATGAGGGGCTCCATGTGGGGCTTGATCCCAGGACCATGGGATCACGACGCAAGCCAAAGGCAGAGGCCCAACCGACTGAGCCACCCAGGTGCCCCCCAACAGGATGAAGTTTAACTCAAGAGGATATTAAACATCAGCTCAATCTGAAGCAGAGAAAGGTCCTCCAAGAAATATACCAGAAAGTCGGAGTGACTGTGGGCAAGGCCTGTTGGTTTTGTTCACTTAACTGGGGAAAATTACTGGAGATACACAATGTCTCCAAGCCACCATATAATGTAGCATTTATACATAACCACATTTCCTTCACAGGTGACTAACAAAGGTGGGCAAATGGTGGCAAGGTATAAAAACTGTTTCAGCAAACAAGGTCGAGCTACTGACACTCCTGGGCAGGAATCAGGTTTTCTTAATCAGGTATTTGATATATGTTTGTAGAATGAATCAATGACCTTGTTAGCTGTTGGATTGATAAGAAAATACTTCAATGCCTGTACTAGTCCCTTAACAGATAAATGAGGCACCCAGAGTAGTTAAAATGTCATGTTTCATAAATAAGCTTTTTTTAGGAAACAAGAATTTAACACTATTAAAATGCTTTTATATGGGAGGATATAATTTCATCTAGAAGTGCAAATATTTATAGAAGTGTTATTTAATTTTCTATCAACAGGTTTATCCTAATATAAAGTGTTTTCCTCCACTGTAGGCTTCTACAAGTGAACTAGAAAAGACAATTAGATGACTTGGAATGTGGGGCTCCACAAATCTGGGACCCAAAGCAATAAACAGCAATGATCTTTTGTACTATCAAGCAAACCTCTTGTTAATCTAAATAAAACTTCAATTGATATTAAAAAACATACTAAGAATTCTACACTTTTTGTGTTATTTTGCTTTTTTTTTTTTTTTTAAGATTTTATTTATTTATTTCACAGAGAGAGACAGCGAGAGCAGGAACACAAGCAGGGGGAGCGGGAGAGGGAGAAGCAGGCTTCCCACCGAGCAGGGAGCCCGATGTGGGACTCGATCCCAGGACACTGGGATCATGACCTGAGCCGAAGGCAGACGCTTAACGACTGAGCCACCCAGGCGCCCCTTGTGTTATTTTACTCTTATTAAAGATTAGGGATCTACTGAACCTGATGTCATGGAAATAGCTCCATTTCTTCAAGGTGTTCCACTTTCCTTGTAATCTCTTTGATCTTATCAAGGAAGTTAGAAGTAACAGGTCAGTGGCAGTTAGTAAGGGTATGGAGAGCTATCTTCCCAGATGCCTACACTAGTACTTACATATGGCAAGCCAAACATGCTCTCTACCATACTGCATTTTTGTTGATTCTAGTAAGGCTAGAATTAGAGACGGTATTATTAGGATGATTCTTTTAAAATGAAATGTTATAGACCTATAAAAAAAAAATTTCCTCCCCCTGAAACCACTGAACTGAATTTGGTATTAATAATTCCCCAGCATTTGTCTGTACTTTTACTATCCATACAGATTATTTGACAGATTGTACCTAACAAGATCATTTCTCTGTATCTCTAATTACTGACGAATGTATCCTATCTCTATCATTAATTGGCTGTACACCTTCACACAAGGTATTTAAGCTGTCTGGGTTGTGGTTTCCTTTAATAACATGAATAATGTGATAATTCAAATGATATGAATGAGTAACAGGATAATTTCTAAAGTTACCTTTTGCTCATATACAATTCCTATATGAAAAGAAATGGGTCTTTGAAAAAGAAGACTATATATTATTATGCTAATACACTTAGTAATATACTAAAATTGAAATTAATTTTAAGGCAAAAACATGCAAAGCTGAACATAACATTATGGTAATTTGGTAACAATGAATGCCACTTAAATTTATATACAACCTTTCTTTTATGTAGGTGAAGACATCTTCAAACTTACTCTTCACATTTATAAAAATATTCTTATGAATGACTTAAGAATTGGCAGAATATATATGTAGTAAAGAGCTTGAGCTCTAGACTCAGATACATCCAAATTCAAATCCTGACCCTGCTATTTACTGGCTACATGAAATCTAGTCAAATAACTTGACTCCTCTAACACATATATTCCTCCTTTAAAATAAAGGTCATTAGGCATCTGCCTTGGGCTCAGGGTCACGATCCCAGGGTCTTGGGATTGAGCCCCACATCAGGCTCTCTGCTCCGCGGGAAGCCTGCTTCTCCCTCTCCCACTCCCCCTGCTTGTGTTCCCTCTCTCGCTGTGTCTCTCTCAAACAAATAAATAAAATCTTTAAAAAATAAGTAAATAATAAAATAAAGATCACTTAGTCATTTTAATGTCAAAGGATTGCTATGGCAGCATACAGGTGGATTTGGGTGGATTTTTTTTTTCTTTTTTGCCATTTTAGTAAACACTGCCAGAAAATAATTTACTTTGGGGAGCCTGGGTTGCTCAGTCGTTGGGCGTCTGCCTTTGGCTCAGGTCATGATCCCACGGTCCTGGGATCGAGCCCCGTGTCGGGCTCCCTGCTCCGCGGGAAGCCTGCTTCTCCCTCTCCCACTCCCCCTGCTTGTTCCCTCTCTCGCTGTATTTCTGTCAAATAAATAAATAAAATCTTAAAAAAAAAATAATTTACTTCTTCAGATCTGTGAATATCAGTGGATATTGTAACAAAGATAGCCTATCTAACCCTATGAACTCCCCCCAAAATTCAAAGTTACATTAAAGACATTATCTAGTTTAAAATCAGAACCACAAGAAACTGGGACTCCTGGGTGGCTCAGTTGGTTAAGTGTCTACCTTTGGCTCAGGTTGTATCACGGACCTACATCGACCTGCTCAGTGGGGAGCCTGCTTCACCCTCTGCCTGCCGCTCTCCCTGCTTGTGCTCTCTCTCTCTGACAAATAAATAAAATCTTAAAAAAACCCACAAGAAACAGCAAGTGTTGGCGAGGATGCGGAGAAAAAGGAACCCTCTTGCACTGTTGGTGGGAATGCAAACTTGTGCAGTCACTGTGGAAAATGGTATGGAGGTCCCTCAAAAAGTTAAAAATAGAACTACCCTAAAATTCAGTAATTGCACTACTGGCATTTACCCCTAAAATACAAAAACCCTAATTCAAAGGGATACATGCAACCCCTATGTTTGTTGCAGCATTATTTACAATATCCAAACTATGGAAACAGCCCAAGTGTCCATCAATAGATGAATGGATAAAGAAGATATGGTATATATATATATACACAATGGAATATTATTCGGCCATAAAAAAATGAAATTTTGCCATTTGCAATGACATGGATGGAACTAGAGAATAATGCTTAGTGAAGTAAGTCAGAGAAAGACAAACACCATATGATTTCACTCATGTGGAATTTAAGAAACAAAACAAAGGAAAAAGCCAAACCAAGAAACAGCCTCTTAACTAGACAGAACAAACTGATGGTTACCAGAGGGGAGGTGGATGGGGGGAATGAGTGAAATAGGTGATGGGGATTAAGGGGTGCACTTGCTGTGATGAGCACTGGGTGATGTATGGAATTGCTGAATCACTATATTGTATAACTGAAACTAATATCACACATTATGTTAACTCTATCAGCATTAAAATGAAAATCTTAAAAAAAAGAAAAAAGGTAAATTTAGCTTATATAACAAAATACTAATTAACAGTGGTTTTTTTTTTTTTTTACAGCTCACACCCCCATCCTCTACCTCTTATTAGTATGTTTGATACTAGAAGTCTATGATAGTCTAAAACTCTCAATATTAAAGTAAATAAAAATTCCTTTTATTAGCAGTTTCTCATTAGCAAAATTTGGATTTCACTTGCCTTTTGAAACCTGATTCCAATTAGTGGCTTTTTAAATAGAAGCAATAATTGAATATTGCTTACATATGCAGAGTCTCAAATGTCATTTTTTTCCTTTTAGAAGTTACAGTAGTATAAAGATTATTTCTCCTTATATTTGCTTTATATAAGCAAATGACTTTTCAAGATTAGAATACAGAAGAATTTTTGTGAAAAGATTTCAATGTTATTATCAGAAATTCCCAGATAGTATTTGGTTTGCTGGGTTGTTTGTTCAATTATGCAATTATGTGTATTTTATATCAATTTAAACTTTCATTTGTTCTTTTCCCCAATAATGCTAGGAAGCATTTTGATATATTATTATGCATCGATGACAATAGTTCCAAAATGGCCAATCGAAATTCAAAGGACAAAGCAAATACCAGTCATCTATTCATAGAAAATCTATTATGTTTTTCTGCATTCTATGCAGAATTAAAAATCTTACGTAACTCAAGTTTCTACCTAATAATCTCTAGGTAATTGTCACAGCCAGGTTTTGTTTTCATGGTTTCCAATATAAAAAGATCATCGTGTCTTAGATAAGACCCGGAGGCAGCTTTATCTAAGAGGAAAACAAAACTGAGCTACTTAGCGTATGAAGAAATATGCTTTCTTCCTTCCTCATGGTATTTCTGAACTATCATTTCTGCCAGAGGTAACAGCTCCACCTTTCCCAACCTGTATCTGTCCAGATCTGGCTAAAGTATCACTCTACTACAATGCTTTTCTTGACATCCAACTTGCTTCCCACAAAGCTAATTGGTTCCTTCTCTATGCCACCTTTCTACCTTACATTTACATCTTTTATGCATTTAAGTCACTGTTATAACTAATTCTTAAATGAGTGTTTCTATGCAAGCTTATCTTTTTGGAGGTAGTGTCCATGTCATACATTTTTCTGCGTTTTTTTCCCTTTCCCTCCATCTCCAAAGAGACGCTGGTACATGGTAGAAGTTCAGCCTTTGTTCTTGAACTGACAATTAGGTATACTTTGAGTCTAATTTTTAATATTACCAAGATTATCGTTAAACAGTAAGAAAGGAATTTCTTTCTTTTTTTTTTTTTTTAAAGATTTTATTTATCTGAGACAGAGAGAATGAGAAACAGAGAGCATGAGAGGGAGGAGGGTCAGAGGGAGAAGCAGACTCCCTGCCAAGCAGGGAGCCCGATGCGGGACTCGATCCAGGGACTCCAGGATCATGACCTGAGCCGAAGGCAGTCGCTTAACCAACTGAGCCACCCAGGCGCCCCAAGAAAGGAATTTCTTAAAACTGTGTTCGATGAGGTAAAAGCAAGAATCAACATGGTTAGGAACGTCATAATTTGTATCTTCTAGGCTTTGGTTGGCCTCTCATATTTTTCCTGTTTGAGGAGTAATCTAACCACCTGAGTTACACAAGGAGAGAAATTTGGCAGAGATTGATCCCAGAAACTTGATCACTAATGTTACACCCATCCCAAGGGAGAATGCCTGAAGCATGAATGTATCCTCCTTGGAACCAGGGTTGAGAATAAGTGAGGGACCAATACTTGATGCTACTTCCTTCTTTGTCCACTACATCTAATAAATAAGCCTCTTTACCTTTGCTTCAACTACCTAGTGTATGCATACTACAACTGAGCCCAGACTGGGTGAGTTAAGAAAAACATTTAGATAACTCTGACAAAGGCTCATTCAGAGAACATTTAAAACAAGAAATTCTTCTTTGTCCTATAAAAGTTAGACTTCCAAACACTACAGATATGATGAAATTTATACCAGTCTACACTAAATGATAAAAACAGACTGGTATATTTTCTAGCTAACTTGATATTCACTTTTTTTAAAAAGATTTTATTTACTGGAAAGAGAGCAAGAGAGGGAGAGAAAGCACCAAGGGAGAGGGAGCAGACTCTGCTAAGCAGAGAGCCAGATGCGAGGCTTTATCCCAGGACCCCTAGATCATGACCTGACACTTAACTGACTGAGCTATCCAGGCACCCCTGTTTTTTTGGCATTAAAATACACTTTAAGAAATTATATAACTGTAGCTCTAGCTCTTTGTGAAGATGAGGACCATATCCTAGGGATTGACGAAGCCTGGGTCCCTAAGAGTGTGGAACAAAACCACTCTCTCCCAGCCCTGGACTGCCTCGATTTCAACTTGTAAGAGAACTAAACTCCTAACTGGCTTAATCCACTGTTAACTTGGCTCTCAATTGCAGCCAGGTATACATATTACTTCCTAGACCTCTGTGATAGGAACATTTTTTGACATATACTGCATTACAGTCTAGTGATGAGACCAACCTTATTTTCCATATATTAGAGGCTGAAGTGCTCTGCTTGAGGAATACCAATCCATTAAAGATGGAAGTCACACTTTAAGAAGACATTTACTTTAAATATTTGGTATATAACATATGTAGTAAGATAAATGCTAATGATATAAAATTTATAGAATGTTTACTATCTAATACTGACTGAAAGTTTTTGTCTAAAGATTCTATTCTATACAAGGATAGATTGGGGAAAAAGATTCCTGGTTACCATGAAATCTGTATGCAATTTCTAAAGGATTCTAACATAGCTTTAATACAAAGTACTTCACTTAAAATATTTCAACAAACTCTTAATTGGCAGCATCTATATGTTTTAATGTTCTGAATACCCAAAAAGTCTTATTATAGTTAGACATCACTATTTTACCTAAAGCAAATTGTATTTCTAATTTTTTCTCTATTAGAATTTATTACTTTCCTTAAGATACTTTTTTTTTTTTTTAAAGATTTTATTTATTTATTTGAGAGAGAGAATGAGAGAGAGAGAGCACGAGAGGGGGAGGGTCAGAGGGAGAAGCAGACTCCCTGCCGAGCAGGGAGCCCGATGCGGGACTCGATCCCGGGACTCCAGGATCATGACCTGAGCCGAAGGCAGTCGCTTAACCAACTGAGCCACCCAGGCGCCCCAAGATACTTTTTTTAAACAGCTAACATTGGAAAACTTAAGTTTCCCCATCAGAAATAAAAATCTGGACAATTACTATATTTTTAATATATGCTTTTACAGCATTTCAAAAGCAAATCTTAATTCAAACCAATACCTATAAAAGGAAATAAAAAAACTCAGTTTACTTTCAGAGTTTGCATATGGCAGAGAGAGCAGGTCACATTTAAATTTTAACAACAAACTATTGTATAATAAATATAAAATAAAGAAATAGACAGTGATAGCTATTATCAAGGGTGAAAACATTATATAAACTTAAAGAGGCTGCTTTCTGAACCGTCACTGATGTAATCTGAAGCTTCTTTATCAATTTCATTTACAGAAACAATCTCTGGAGTCAAATTTATCATTCACTTTCATGCCCCCACATGAGAAGTAGTAGGTGAATATCTGTAGGAATACAATTTATTGTCTGCTCCTCCACTCAGAAGTAACTGTGTAAAGGGAGAGGAAAAAAAAAACATTTAAGTAAACATAATTATAAACATAAATACTGACTGATTACAGAAGGAATTATGGATGAGCAGTTAACTCGCATTTAGAGCTAATACTTAAATGGACCAATTACATCAATTTTCACTACCATATTATAATACACTCTATTAATACTTTAAAAGTGATCATTTAAATTTGGTTGAGGCATGATATGCTATTGTACTTTCTATGAAGTATTTGTTAAGAAATATAATAAAATTTAAAAGTCTAAGGGGTGATATAGTTTTACCTATTTAAGAAAATTAAGTTTTATAGGAGAGTATCTTAACTGTTTGCAGGTAAATGGATATTACAAATTATTCAAGTAGCCCTAGGACCTGTATTTGGAAAGAATTCTTTAGCAATAACAGCTAATATACACAAAAATAAGTAAATTGTAATTCTTTAAGCACATTTTGTAGTCTAGACTTATTCTGCAAGATTTTTTTAAGGGGGAAATACTTAGAACTAACTGGACTAGTGGAGCAAATTTATGGATTTAAAACATTTCATTAAAATACTTGAAGAAAAAACCGCTTCAAAATTTTCAAATTTTACTACTCCTAATTATAAAGAACAAATTTGTTTCTTCTTTGAAAGTAATGTGAGATTTTTATGACTAATATTAAGGGAAACTTAGAATACAGAATTATAATTATCAGCCACATTGAAACTAGTAACTCCCTAAATACACACACCAGATTTATTCTCTATTTTTCCTCTTTACCAAATAACTAATAAATTCTTACCCCTGTGTCTGTCCAGTCTACACTCAGAACTTTATCTTCATGAGCAGCCAGATCATAGAGAGGAGCTTTACAACTAGAAGATCAAAGTATTACCATGTTATATGCATTTCACAATATTAAAAAAACATTTATGACTAATCATATTTTTCTGAAAACTTTACAGACTTTTACCATCCTTGCCCCAATAACCAGTTAATCTTTTTTTTTTTTTTTTAAAGATTTTATTTATTTATTTGAGAGAGAGAATGAGAGA